TGTGGCTTGGAAGCCAGCCTACCTGGGTTCAAATGGCCTCTCCTTGGCGGGTGATGACGAGCAGTTGGCGAACTCTGGGCAGCGATGGCTAGCTCCTGACCGCTGCTGTCACCGTTCACTGGGTCAGCATGGGGGCAGGAGGGGACCCAGGCAGGACGGGACCTTCCGGACCACACCCCCTCCTGGCCGGGACTTCCTACACTGCTGTTATTTCATGCAGCACCTATATGTTACAACTTGCCTGTGTGTGTGTGTGTTGCATGTGTGGTGTGTGTGTGTGTGTGGTGTATGTGTGGTGTGTGTGGTGTTTGTGTGGTGTGTGTGTTGTATGTGGTGTGTGTGTGGTGTATGTGTAGTGTGGTGTGTGTGTTGTGTGTGTGCTGTATGTGTGGTCTGGTGTGTATGTGGTGTGTGTGTGCTGTATGTGTGGTATGTGTGGTGTGTGTGTGTGGTGTATGTGTGTATGTGTGGTGTGTGTGGTATGTGTGGTGTGTGTGTGGTGTATGTGTGGTGTGTGTGGTGTGTGTGGTGTATGTGTATGTGTGTGGTGTGTGTGTGGTGTGTGTGGTGTGTGTGGTGTATGTATGGTGTGTGTGGTGTATGTGTAGTACATGTGTATGTGTGGTGTGTGTGTGTGTGGTGTATGGTGTATGTGTGCTGTGTGTGGTGTCTGTATGGTGTGTGTGGTGTATGTATGTGTGTTTGTGTGGAGTATGTGTGTATGTGTGGTGTGTGAGTGTGTGTGGTGTGTGGTGTATGTGTGGTGTGTGTGTATGTGGTGTGTATGGTGTGTGGTGTATGTATGGTGTGTGTGGTATATGTGTGTATGTGTGGTGTGTGTATGTGTGCTGTGTGTAGTGTGTGTGTGTGGTGTGTATGTGGTGTGTGTGTATGTGGTGTGTATGGTGTGTGGTGTGTGTATGGTGTGTGTGGTATATGTGTGTATGTGTGGTGTGTGTAGTGTGTGTGGTGTGTGGTGTGTATGTGGTGTGTGTGTATGTGGTGTGTATGGTGTGTGGTGTATGTATGGTGTGTGTGGTATATGTGTGTATGTGTGGTGTGTGTAGTGTGTGTGGTGTGTGGTGTGTATGTGGCCCTCTGCCTGAGCCTCTGAGTGTCCGTCCCCACCCTCTTCCTTGACTGTCTTTCTCCGAGGCCCCGTCCCCACCCTCTCCCCGGACCGTCTTTCTCCGAGGCCCCGTCCCCACCCTCTCCCCGACCATCTTTCTCAGTGCCGTGCCGTCCTGCTGGGTGGCTGGGCCTCGGAAGAGGAAGGCGGTGGCCTCAGACCCTCTGTCCCTGGCAGGCCCCTTCCCCCGCGCCCCCGGAGTATAGTCTAAGCTCAAGTGCGTTAACTCAGCTCGCAGGGCCTGATCCCAGAGCGTCCTTGTTTCTGGAACCCCATGCATCTGGGGCCCGCCACCCACTGTGTCCCCTGCTTGTCCACAGCGCAACTCCTGAGGCAGGGCTGGGGCGCGTCACAGGGGTCTGCATGTGCAGGCCCCACCCCGGGGACGTAGAGAAGTGCCTTGGGGGGGACAGGTCACACTATTAAAACTGTCCCCTGCTGCCACCCAGGGGCCCTCCCTGGAAGCAGCCAGGTTCCCAGATGCGGTCCCGACATACACACGTGCAGGCCCGGGTTTGCGCCCAGGCCATGGCAGGTGATGCTAAATCCAGTGAAGCCGGAGCACAGCCGTGCCGGCCTCGGGATGTGCCCGATCACCGCGGTAACCGCCTACCGTGCTCCCCGTCTGAATCCCCCGCCACGCGCCAGCATCGCAGGAATTGTCACCACGCAGCCACCAAGTGTGCCTCACCTCGTGAGTGTCTATATTCCGGTAAAGGCTTCTTCCCAGCCTTTTGCTGCCCACTTAATGCCCATTTATCTCTGAAGATTCAGCTCAAGTGCTTCCTCTTCCAGGGAGCCTTCCAGCCCCCTTCTGTGCCCCTGACTGGAGTCCTCTGCAGTTGCACAGTCCTCTCACCAAGCCTGTGCTGAGGTGGCTCTCCTGTCTCCACTTCCTGCGGTTCTCACTCCCTGCTGAGTTACGGAGCCCAATGCAGAGGGCAAGGCGCACCGGTCCTCAGCATGCGGTACTGGCCGGATGCCTAGCTGACCACCATCCTGTTCCAACAGCCTCCTGCAGTGTGGATTCCCCCACCGTGGCACCCCTCCGCCTCCCTGGTTGGGACCTGGAGGGAGTGAGGTGGGGAGAGGACCCTGTGCAGAAGCTGTTGGGGGGACGCCCTCCCATGCAACACAGGCTGGAAGTGGCCCCACTCTGGAGCACACCTGGCCAAGGGGACTGAGTGGAGCTCACCCCTCTGGGATGGGGCCGACTCCAGATTCCCTCTGGGGTTCCTGCAGGTGATCAGTGGGCAGAGACCGGCTTGTGAAGCACTGCAGGCAGAGGCATACCCAGGCTGGCCACTTCCCCAGCCGGGCAGAGGGAGCAGGTGGTCCGGCTGCGGGGAGGGCTAGGGAGACCCAGAGCGGGAGGGGCGCGGAGAGGAAATTGGAAAAGGCAAGGGGTGGAGGCTGGCGGCTGGCCGGGTTGTTTAACGAGGAAATGTGCGGGGAACGCTAATGAGCTGCGTTCATTCACACGAGCCGCCTCCCAGATTGGGGCGCCAGCCAGGTTCTGGGGTGGAGGAACTAGGGACTGGAGCCAAACTGGGGAGCTGCCTGGCTGCCAGGGCAGGGCCTCCCGTGACAGGCTGGCAGGGGGAGTCTTTGTCCTAGATCTGAGGGGCCCTCCTTCCTCCCCTCCTTTCAAAGGAAGGGCCAGGCTTGGCCAGGCGGTGACAACTTGGCTCAAGGCCTGCTTGGGTTTCACTGTCCAGGCTGGTCTGGAAGCTTCTAGGACAGAGGCTGGCTCTGGAGCGGTAGGTAGGGGTGATCTAGCACCCCCTGCCCCCTTCCACCGCTGCTCACACCGTTTCGCTCTGCTGCTCTGAGGACCCCAGGGCACCTGGCCTGACTAATCAACACTCTCCCTGGTCCCACATGGGTCCTGGCTTCTGAGGGACCCTCTGAGGTCATGGGGCCTGAGAGATGGTGCCAGTGGGAGAGAGTGGGGGGCCAGACCTCTGAGAGCTGCCGCCTATGAGGGGCCTGGCAGGGGCCAGGTGCTGGGGAGTGTCAGCGTAGACTGGAGGAAACCAGGCAGGACTGCCGGGTGGGGCCCTGCCCTGGAAGGGTGCTGGAGAAGGAGCCAGGGAAGGAGCCTGGCTGGAGGGAGGTGGAAACAAAGCCTCAGGCCAGGCAGAGAAGGAGGCTCCAGCTGGGCCTGGAGAGGTGGGCAGGGGGTGGAGGGTGGGGAGGGGGTCCCTTCAGAGGGCAGGGCTCTGGCTGGTTCTGCGGCAAGGTCCCCTCATGTCACACACGGGGACCCTGAGAAAGCCCCCTCCCCTGATTACTGAAGAACGGCCCGGTGAGGTCGCAGTCGGGGTGGGTGACGATGTTCACACTGGGATGCTGTCATACAGCAGGTGAGCTGTGACACACTGGCCAGTGCTCCCTGTGCTGTGAGGGGCTACGGCAATGTTTGTGAAGACAAGGAAAACAAAGGAACCCCTGAGCCCGGGACCGCAGGCCATCGGGCTGCAGTCTCAGGGGACCTGTCCACATCGGCCCCCAGACCGCACTCGCTGCGCCTGCCCTGTTCCTGGCGCCTCTGGGGCCAGTGGTCATTCTGGCTTCTTCCACCATGGCCTCAGGTGGCCCAGCCTGGGAGGAGGCCCTTCCCCGAGCCAGGCTGTGCCCCTTGCCCGGATGCCATGCCTCACAGCAGGCCCTCTCCCAGGGAGCATGCCAGGTCTCTCCGTCCCGGAAGGCCGCTGCTATCCTCGCTCTGGGGAGGGTCTTCGTCTTGGGGGGGTAAGGTGAATTCTCTCCCTTCCTGGACTGTCCTGTCACACCCGTGTCCGCATTTGCCTGGGGGTGGGAAGGGTCCCTCCTAGGGGGCTTCAGAAGCCCAGGGTGCTTCTTTCCCACAGGCTGCTGGCCTTTCCGGCCTTTGCCCTCCTTTGAGGACAGGGCTGAGCATGCGTCCTGTCCCCACCTGTCAGAATGGGGGTTGCTGCCTGAGGGAATTCGCAGCGCCCACCATGCCCTGCCCCACCGGGTGGGTAGAAATCCGCAGCCAGATCAGGGGGCTGGAGTGTGTTTGGGAGTGCAGCAGGCTGCCCTAGGCCTCCGGCGTCGGTGGGCCCCCTCCCCAGCCCGCCCCAGACTCTGCCTCCAGGACCAGATCATAGGCTAAGTGAGGCTGGTGGCTAGAGATGCCACCTGAGGCGCAGGGTTTTTTTCCACCTAAAATGGACAAAATTTAAGTCCAGTGGGGCCCGAGGGCGGTTTCTGCCATCCGGGAAAGCACCTCTGTGGCTTCGGAGGCGTCCTGGCTGCAAAATGAGGTTGCCTTCCTTGTCCGGACCAGGTGCTGGGGCGCGTGGGTCCAAATGTGTGTGCGTGTGCGTGTGCACAGAGCAGCAACCGGACAGGTGGAGCCCAGGCGTGGGGGAGGGCGGGGAGGAGTCTGGCCCTGGATGTGTGCTTTGCGATTGATGGATGGCTGCCGGGTGGGAGCGAGCGTGCGGTGTGAGTGCGATTGTGTGTGCGCGGGGTGCGTGCGCGCGCGGGCCTGCCCATTTTCCTCGTCGCAGCAGTCAGTTGGGAGCTGGAGGGAGGGAGAGGGAGACGCAGGCGGCGAGAAGCAGGAGCCGAGCGCCCTCCGCCAAGGCGCCCTCCCTCCGTGCGCGCACAGGCGCCGTCGCTGGAGGAACAAGGTGCCTCTCAGCCCGCCCGGGCGCAGCGCACCAGCCCGCGGCTGGTCGGTGCTTAGCCCCGGGACTGCACCTGGAGGCGGCCCCGGACGGGGATGGTCAGCGGCTGCCGCCTCTCGCACGCAAGCGGGACGCGGTGAGGGCACCATGGCGCTGACGCCTGGATGGGGGTCCTCGGTCGGGCTGGTCCGGCCCGAGCTCTGGCTGCTGCTGTGGGCAGCCGCGTGGCGCCTGGGTGCCACCGCGTGCCCCGCCCTCTGCACCTGCACCGGCACCACGGTGGACTGCCACGGCACGGGACTGCAGGCCATCCCCAAGAACATCCCGCGGAACACCGAGCGTCTGTGAGTACGCCCCCACCCCAGCCCGAGGTTGCCCTCCCACCCAGACGCGATTCAGGGCTGGGGGTGGGGGCCGGACAGTTGGGGCCGCGGCTCCGCAGCCAGCAGACGGTCAGCGCCTGCTTTCCCAAGCCGGAGCCGGCTGCGCCGCTGTTTTCCCTTTCCCTAGGCGGGGTTGTCAGCGCGTCCGCACACCTGCACCCTGCGCTCCGCTCCGCGCTGGCAGGCCCTTCCCACTGCGCCAGCACTTTATTCCTCCAGGACGCCCGCGAATTCGTGCCAGAAAGCTCCTTGGCACCCAGGAGGGAAGCTTCCCACACTGCCAGGCACAATGTCTCCTTCTGGGCACAAGGGGCTTGGCTGCGTCTAAGCCGGGTGTGGGCTTGGGCTCTGAGGGCTTGCAGCTGGTGATGGGCGGGCGGTGGGATGGACCTGAAGTTTCTGGGCTCCCCTGCCTCTCCATTGTCTGCCCCAGCGCCCTGAGAATTCTTGCCCTGCAGGTGTCAGGCGTGCCCCCCCTTCCCTGTCAAGCCATCCCCAGCCCAGGCAGACAATGGGGCTAGCGGGCTCTGGGTTTGGGGCCCGGCTGTTACATTCAGCCTCCTGCAGCGTACATAGGTGTGTCCTGGCAGCCCCAGGAACACCCTTAGGTCAGGAGCTTGGTGCCTGGAGACACAGGGTTAGACCTTGACCATGACAAGTGGCAGAAAACATCCTCTCCCTCCGTGCTCTCCCACTTCTGCATTCTTGAGGAAACTCAGCCCCTTTGAGCCCATGGGGCTTTGTGGGGGTGCGTGTGTGTTTACAGACGTGTGGACCTTGTTTTCTGTGGCCCTCCTGCGGAACGAGTGTCCTTGTGCCTCCCCCGTCCCCACGGCCCCTCTGCAGTGCGAGGCTGTGCTGTGGTCGCAGGCAGGGCCTTTGTACTGCCCGCAGAGGTGACCGCGCCACATTTCTGAACGGGACTGTGGAGCAGGCTGCCGGCTCCTCTGAAGCCGGGCTGCTCCCCCTTCCCACACTCCTGGGTGACTGCAGGGGCTCTCAGGAAAGGCGTACATGTTTTGATAACTTTTGAGCACGTTTTCCTGGCTCTCGGTCGGTCAGAGACAGAAACCTGACCCTGGGGAAAGCTGTCTGCAAACTCTGTACCAAGGCCAGCAATTAGTGAGCACACATTTGCCCGACCCTGCTTGGCTGACCCGAAAAACTCCTGTGGAAGCCTCCGAGAATCTGCAGTCTAGACGCAGGCTAGATGGGTGTGCACACGCATGTGTGAGCATGTGCTCCCTCTGGCTGCAGAAGGCGGTGGGCTGGGGCGCAGGGTGGCTAAACTGTTTCCTCGGGGCAGCCTGTGTGGGCCTGCAGAGGAACTGAGGCTCAGGAATCCCTCCAGGAGACCCCTGAGGTTGCCCGGTCACCGACTGTGCCTGTTCCCCTTGCCTCGTCCACTGGGGCACTTCTGTGGCTGTTACCTGGGGAGCAGCTGAGGTCAGAGGCACGTCACCTCTCGCCTCTGCTTTGGGTCTTGCTCTCTCCACCTTTCGAGGTTAGGCCCGTGTCCATTTGGGTTTTCATGAACTCTGTCTCTCTTTTGCAGTCAGAGTGAGATGGAAGTGGAATTTCCCAGGGGAAGGAAAGAACTGGGGGTCTAGGGTTTACACTGCCTGGGTTAGAGCCTACCTCGGTCACTTCTGAGCTCTGTGATCCCAGCACGTCACTTAACATCTCTGAGTCTTAGCTGCTTTCTATCGGGGAGATGGGCTGAGGACGGACACTGAGGTGTGGGCATGCTGGGGACCATGGGTGCTGGCTAGGTGAGCCAGTGCTGCAGGACAGGGGGGTGAGTGTCGTTCTTTTTTAAAAGTTTATTTATTTATTTATCCGGGGGGGAGGGGTGCCCTCAACAGGGTCTTCATGCCCTGATCCACCATCAGCCTCCGCCAGCCCCGATCATAGGCACACACGTGCAACTGGTGTGTACAGGAAGACCTCCAGACACGAACCCGGACTTCGTCAAGGAGTGTCGTGTTACCTCCACTGGCTGCCGAGTCTCGTTATCTCATTATTTATTTTCAATTTGCTATAGGGCACATGTACTCACTGGAGACAGAGACAGAGACAGAGAGAGAGCCCTCCAGGGTGGATGACCCCTCCGCAGTCCCTTCTCCGTTCTCTTCTTGGGATCATGGGCACATATGTATGTGCACTCTGTGTGTCCCTCAAGCCACTGGGTCCAGGACTTGAACCGCGCAGTCGGCCATGTGGGCTCTGGCCACCTTAACCACCACACCACTTGGCTGGCCCTGAGTTTCGTTATTGTAATTCCATAATGTTTATAGTTTCCCTGGCAGGCGTAAGCTGGTGCCTGACTTCAAGGGATGCATAATCTGGAGGACGGGGTGGGGGACCCCTGACTGCAGCTCTGGGAAGGAGGGGCCGGGCCAGCTGCATATGGGGCTGTGAGACCATGGAGGGGCAAAGCCCTTTTCCGGGGTGGGCCATTTTATCAGAGTTGGACTGGATTCTGCCATGCAAAGAGGCAGCAGCCCAGACAGGGGCACAAGCAAAGAGCCGGCAGGGGTGAGTGCGCCTGGCTGGTACGGGCAACCGGCCCAGCTCGTCGCTCGGCCTGAAACACACTGTGTCCGGTGTGTGGTGATGGGATGGACGCTGGAAGGACAGGGAGGGGCCAGGACGGCTGTCTCTCTCTGCGCTTTTCCTCTGGGGTCTGGCGGGTGGGAATCCAGGGTGAGTTATCCTGGGGGAGTGGGGTTGATCTGACCTTTGTGACGTGTGCAAATCTCTGACTGGGAAGGGCCGCGAAGCAGAGGGAGCCTGCTTTTTCACCAGGCAGCCCGAAGGCCACTGGAAGAGGAACAGAACACCCAGAAGGAGGCTCTGGTGAGCACAGGCAGACTACAATAGCTATGGCCCGTGATCGATTGGGCGTCTGCAGGGCAGAGCTAGGAGCGGCTTCCGAGCTGAGCCCGGGAAATGTCACCCTGGGCTGCGCCTCGCCTCCACCTGGGTCCTTCAGGCAGTCTCTGCGGCACCTTCGTGGTCATGTAGCCTTAACTCCGGTCCAACCCTTCTCCCCCAGTGAGAGGCAGCCCTCATTGGTCTGCTGCAGGGGCTTCTGGGACTCTTCCGTGTGTAGGCCCCAGAGCTGCTGAGGAAATTGGTTTGAGCCAGAGGCGCTGTGGAGCTGGTGGGCCGGGTTGGGGAAGGATGCTAAGTAAGTCACCGCGATGGATTCAAATACTGAGCGAGGCTGGGGCGGCGGTGGAGGCGGCCAGGGACAAGGTTCGTCTCCTTGTAGGGCCCTTGCTCAGAACGACCGAGCCATGACCACTCTCCACTGTTCTTTTCCTCCCAGAAGGATCTTAACTTTCCAATGCATTAAAAACCTTTTTTTAATCTTTTTGGTGTAGTGTCCAGGACAGTGTAGTGAGAGAGTGTCGACAGCGACTCCCCTCCACGCTGGACACTGGTATTCTGGGCACTGGGGGTGCAGAGAGGGAGGGGCACCGCCTGACCCTCTGGCGTCAACCCTGGATGGAGCTAGGTGGGCGGGGCCCCTGGCAGGCCTCTTAGCCCAGGCCAGCACCTCCTGTTGCCCGTCAGGTCATGGGGCCCCCTTTCTTGCCTTCCTCTGCATGTCCCCTTGCCTCTTTTCCCGTGCTCCAGGCCTGCTGCAGAGGCCTGGGAGGTCCCTGCCCTCTCTGGGCTCAGCTCCCTGGGTCTGGAGGTTCTGTTCCACATCGCTGGGTGGTCACACCCAAAGAAGACTGCCATGGCCCCTGAGGTGGATGACCTGGGGAGCCTGTCTGGAATTCCGAATGAGTGAATGACACCGTGGTGAGTGAGGTCACTGGAGCCACGTCTGCCGTCAGGGCCTGGCTGTCCCAGGCCCTGGCCCTCTGAGCAGGCCACCGTGTTCTCCTGTAGCAGAAATCTGCGCTGTGCAGGGGGTGTTTCCTGTTCTCGCTATAAAAGCTTATTATTTAATGGGTCAGCTGGTGGCGTGGTGGTTAGGGCAGCCGGATCCCACATGGCAGACTCTGCGGTTCTCTTCCTGGACCCAGTGGCTTGAGAGACATGCTGGGTACATGTGTGTGCATGCCCCCAAAATCCTTAGAGGAGAAGGGATTGTTGCGTAACCATCCCTCCTGGGAGTGATTTCTCATTTTCCCTCTCTCTTTTTGTCTGTCTCTGGTGAGCTCACATACCCTATAGCAAAAGCTAAAAAAAAAATAAAGAGAGAGAGAGAGAGAGATTCTCTTCACATACCCTATAGCAAAAGCTAAAAAAAAATAAAGAGAGAGAGAGAGAGATTCTCACTTCCATAAGGGAGGGAGACAGAGACACAGAGGCAGACAGCGGACAGTGCCCTCACAGGTTTCCTGGGATGCACCCCGAGCCTTCGGCTGGCCCTGGGTCATAGGCACACATGCTCAACGTACTCAGAGAGGTCTTCAGACGAGAACCCAGAACCTCCATACGTGGCCCAGTCTCACAGCTGTCACGGCTGCACACTGCCCGGACCCTCCTGCTCTTTCAGGCCTTGGTCCAGTGGCTGGAGCACGGAGTGCATTGCTGGGTGCGAGTGCCTGGTGTGAGGCCCCAGCGTGGTCTGTCAGGGACCCCGCCTCCTCTCTGTAAAGGGGTAACCAGAGCCTTGCAGGCTGCCAGTGAGGAGTGAGTGAGCAAATGCACACGCAGAGCCTGGTGCAGCTGGCAGCATGGCTGGTGTGCTAAGCCCTCCCTTGGCCTCTGGGGACAATAACCCCTCCTACTCCTTAGGGTCCAGGCAAGGGCTCACTCCGGCTTTGTTTGTGAAAATGCTTTGTTATTCAAACACTAGGCCATACTGTTTTTATTTAGGAAGTTCAAGGGCCTGGGTGGGGTGGAAGAGAGCTTGGGAGTAAGCAGCTGCTTATTGGCCGTGCTGCCCACTGCTCCGCTGGAGTGCCTGCTCCAAGTGCCCACGTGCTGTGTCTGGG